GCTCGGCTGGCAGCGGCGTGCATCGAACACACAGCGCCCACGAGTGTGCTTGGTGTGATCCACCCCACGCCCAGGAGCCCGGCAGAGCCCAGGGGAAGAGGGAGATCGCTCAAAGGCCAGAGGCTGGTAAGGGTCCAAACGCCACCCAAAACCAGAACATCTCCCCATGCCCTTCTGTGCCTCTCCACCCACACCAAGGTGATGAAGCCACTGCAACTCAGAGCTGCCCAAGGAAACCCAGGCGCAAACCGAGACCTTTGCAGGGAGAAAGGTTTCCCACGCAGGGCAGAGCGGCAGCGTCGCCCACATCCCGGTAGCCCCAATGTTTCCCAGCCAGCCTGCGAGAACTCCTCCCGGCAGGGCTGGATAAGCCAGTCGGCCAGCCGGGACACAACCGGAGTCGGGAAGGGCTGGCCGACATCAGGGTATGAAAATCACTGTGGTTTATTGCAGAAATAGAAATTGCATCTCTTCCTACCGCCGTACCAGCTCCCACCTCAGCCAGCCCGGCAGAGCAGCAACACGGGCTGCCTGCAGGCAATTACCCCGGAGGAAACTACTCCGGTGGTACACCTAGACAAATACTGCCGGTAGGCTCTGGTTACAACTCCTACCTGATTTTGAAGGTGGGGTTTTTTGTGGCCAATATCACCTGAACCCATAAAAGAGAAGGTACAAACCAGAGCCTGTGCAGTCAGTTTGGTGACTTCAGGCACAGAGTTTGTCACATTTAATGTATTTGCAGATACAAAAAGAAAATACAAGCCAGGTCTGGTCTTGTAGATGAGTTTCCCACAAAGATAACACAGCACTCCAGTGATTTTAACCAAAAAATTCAAGGAAGAAAGGTTATTTGATAGGACCCAATCCTAACCTGTTCCTCGTAATTTTTCCTTATACCTAGTTCACAAACCATGAACAAAATGCCTCAGCACACGATCTAGCATTAAAACCCTGCTAGCACTAAACATTGGCAATGCTGCTATTTGCAGTTATGCAGAAGCCTGCAGTGCCCCTGACCCTTTCGCAGGGATCCCCCATATTCCAGGGCCGGGAAGAAGCCGTCCTGCAAACACCCAACCCAGGAGTCCCGGCACAAGGGGCACCGCCAGTCGAGCATCAAACCCAGCGTGAGGACGGTGCTTCTGCTCCATTGCATGAGAGAGGGGAGCGCAGCATCACCCGGCATTGCCAGGAGCGCCGACTTCACGAGTTACCGGGTCAGCGACCATTAATTTACGGTTATATGAACGCAACAGTAAATGAGAGGAGATGGCAGACAAACTGCTTTGGATTCAGGCACAGCCCGCCCCGCGATGCCCTCCAGTGCAGGGCACTCGCTATGCCTTGTCACAAGACCCGGCGTTCCGGGAAGAATAAAAATGGAGTAGATAAATTACTGAAGCACAAGAAAGATGCTTGTATGCACGATCCCAGCCAGAAGGAGCAACAGGAGGGAAATGTCGCCGGAGCAAGCAGGGATGGGGACGGCTCCTGCAGGACCTTGCCCAGGGTGCAGCCGCTGTCCCCCACTGCAGCTGGGCAGGGAGGGCAAAGATGCAGGAGCAAACAGCAGCAAAGTAAATCCCACCCAGGAGAATCCTTAGGGATGGTGGAGGAAACATCCCCTGTCCGAGAGGGATCACCGTGCAGCTCTGGCCTGGTAAAAAGGACACGACGAAGACATCCAGCCCCGCACGCTAAAAGGCTGCGTCGCCAGCACATCCCTCCTCTGCTCGCAACGTCTCTCCCTCAGATCCAAACCAGCCCAGCCCCACACGCCGGCAGAACCGCACACAGCCCCGAGGTACCTGCGCAAGAGCTCTGCTCTCACAGAGCCGTCCAGAGCACAGTCCCCTGGGAACGAGGGGGTTTCGGGAGCTACAGCCCCCTGGTACAGCTCCTCCACTCAACAGCAAAACAAGGGCTGCACCAGAAGCAGAGCAGGTTCCAGCAGGAGGACAAGATGCTGCAGCCACCAGCCGAGAGCTGCGCTTCCCTCCTTCCCCAGCACAGCCTCAGCACTAACCCCAAAGAAAGCCTGGTAAAATTTGGCACAGAGCAGCTCCTGGGCCAGGGACAGCCCGGCCACCACCGTCACTGCTCCTCAGATGGGACTGTGGAGGTGATGGAGGAGGAGAGCAGAGCCAGAAGGAAAAACAGGGCTCTTCCAGGCGCTTATCGAGTGGCCCATCAAGGCAGCACACGGCAACACCAGAGATGAACATAATGCAACCTACCGTGATCTTACTGGCCCGGTTCAGTGCCTCCACCCAGTCCTGCAGGTCCTTCTGATCGCTGGCTTGTAAGAAATAACGCTGAGATAAAGCATTGATAACTATCAAAGAAGGGAACAAAAAGAAGAGTTAGGGAACTCCATTCAGTGCTTAGCATTAGGAAAACAAATTAAACAATAAATCAATAAGACAGCATCTCCCCACTCCCAGTCCCAGCGCGATTTGCAGATATCGGTCTCGTAACCTCTCGCATGGAAAAGCGGCTGAGGGGCCGGCGCTTGGGCGTGAAGTGGGGACACAGCAGCTGGTCAGTTGGATGCATCCTTGCACCAGAGCTTAGGGATGGCAGGGCTAAAGCCAGGCTTAAACCAAGGCTGTGGCATGGCCCAAACTAGGACTTAACCTAGCGCTGAAGTTAGTCCCTTGCACGGGGTGTTTGAGGGCCCCTTGGGACTTTCTTTGCTCAGTGCTTGGGTTTTAACTCTCATCCAAAACATGGGTGCGAACCCCCGCTGGGGATGCACCGTGCGCTCTAGTCTTTGTCTTGGGCTACGTCCCTTGTAGTAAAGTATTGCAAAGGCAACGCCGTTCCCCTGGGACAAGTACGTGCTTGTGCTGCCATTTCTGTTGCTCTAAACCCGAGTTCATGGCTTGCACACGAGGCACTGAGGCAGTGTGGGTTGGGCTGAGGCCATTTGGGACGGGTGGGAACTGGATATGAAATACCCCTTCCTTGCACCACCAGGAGCAAAAGCTTATGCAGGCATTAAAAAGGAGAAAAAAAAAAAAAAATGTTTTGCACAAAGTAGTGCAGCACAACAGGACACACAAGGAAAGGATTCGGGAGCACAGCAAAAGCAGGGGACCGTCACGGAGGGGACCCACAGGCCCCTCACCAAGCTCTGCCTGTGCATCTCGCGTGGGGGGTCACAGTCACAGGGCCACCACACAGGGCTGTGGCTCGTGATAGCCCTGCCCTGGCTCTCTGGCACGATGTGCCAGGTGCTGGCAGCATGCCCTCCCCTCCCTGATGGCAAGGATGCTGCGGGCAGGTCCCGGGGGTCCATCTGGGAGCACTCAAGAGGGCTCACGGGGGAGGCACCTAAGCCTCCTGCTGCAGGGGGTCCTCCCCACCGGGGTCCCCCTCACTCACCAAAGCAGAACGGAGTTTTTGGCTTCTGTTTCGGAGTGGCGATGCTAACCTGCAACGGAACGAATGAAATAAAAAATTAAAGATAACAACACACACTAATGGCCTGCACGAGAGTTGGAAGTTTCGATGCACAAACCCAGGATGGAGGGGAAGCCAGTGCTCCCCAAAGCTCCAAACCAGTCCATGGCCCCGGTTCTTCCAAGCCCCTGGTCCAGCACCGAGGCTGCCGAGCAGTGAGAACCCAGCTGCTGGCACGCTGCAGCCTGCAGCCCCGTTACGCTGCGCCCAGCAGCCGCTCCAGCCTGATGGGACACATCATCTGCCCTCCTCAACCACACAATTACCCTCGGTCTGCAAACGAGGACGAGACCCGGCCAACTCGAGTCAGGGCCCAATTAGCACATCTTCCCCTTGCATCTCCCAGTTGGAGCCCTGCCATGTTCCACCACGGGTGCTGGTGGGGCACAACTCCCACCCCAGGCTCTGCCACCCCCGGGAAGAGCCGAGCGGGACCCCCAGAAGCAGGGATGCTGGGCTAATGGGCAGCATGGCCCTCGAGGGGCTGGCACGTCCCATACCCACAAGGACAACCCGCATGGCACGAGCCCAGGAGTTGCAGCGCAGCTGCACGAGCTCTCGGGAACGGGCCCGTATCAGATGTAACGCAGAGCACATGCGGCAAGGAACGCGGAGTCCCAGGGGAAGGTCAGCGCGGAGATGGGGCTTTCATCTCCCGCTGTCATGTCCCCCCCCCGGCGCTGGCTGCACTGTAAAGCAAAGAACGGAAAGCTTTCAAAGGTCTTGAAAACGCGAGTTTCTGCTGGGCTAAGACAGTCACTCTTGTCAGCAATTAAGAAAATTGAGGGAAAATAGCAGTGGTTTCTCCCTAAAGAGTAGGAATCATTTATATAAGAATAATACTCCCCAGGGCTCCAAGCACAACATTCATGGAGTATTTATTCTGACAGCCTTCCTCCTTTGGAGCCAGTCTATAATGCTTTAAATATGTTTTCTCAAGCAAACCTCCATTTTTCTGGTGTATTTACAGTTGGTAGTTACAGCCACTGGCATAACCCAATCCCACAGTTGGTGACCAAAGGCTGTCCTACAGCAATTTTCATTTAGACTAAAACGTATATAATTTATAAGTGAGGCTCTTTTCGAAATGGGGAAGGCTCAATCTCCCGGCATTGCTTCATCTGCGCTTAATTTATAAATCATGATTCAGAAGGAACAGGGAGA